TATTTTTAAAAGTGTTAAATAACTTCATGATATGTAAATCTCATATTTTCAAAATATTTTTTCTCCCTTAATTTTACTAAATTTGACTAAGTTTTTCAACACAACCTTGTAAAACATGTAATATGCTTTAACACCAATGATGATTTGTTGGAAGAAAGGTTAAAATGCTTCTTAAAATGTTGTATCAATACGAGGCTACAAACATTCTTATTTATTAAGATGAGCAGAAGGCCATTGTGATTTATTATTGCATATGGGAGATCCAAAATATGAAAAAGCTACTGAAGTCTATTATTTCATTGATTTGTACATGTGTAAACACATTGTTAGCACATATATTACATCTTGGGATTGATTTTACAAAATTATAATAGATCATTCCTTTACAAAGACAAGCTTGGACTCCACTTGATATGAAAGAAGACAGCGTCAAAAAACTTTCAGAAAGTCCAGACAAGTAAGTCGTCCAGAAGACTTACAAGTAAGTCGTCCAGAAGACTTACAAGTAAGTCGTCCATAAGACTTACAAGTAAGTCGTCCAGAAGACTTACACGTAAGTCGTCCAGAAGACTTACACGTAAGTCGTCCAGAAGACTTAGAAGTAAGTCGTCCAGAAGACTTACAAGTAAGTCGTCCAGAAGACTTACAAGTAAGTCGTCCAGAAGACTTACAAGTAAGTCGCCCAGAAGACTTAGAAGTAACTCGTCCAGAAGACTTACAAGTAAGTCGTCCAGAAGACTTACAAGTAAGTCGTCCAGAAGACTTACAAGTAAGTCGTCCAGAAGACGTACAAGGTAAGTCGTCCAGAAGACTTACACGTAAGTCGTCCAGAAGACTTACAAGTAAGTCGTCCAGAAGACCTACAAGTAAGTCGTCCAGAGAACTTATAACTAAGTCGTCCAGAAAACTTCCAGATCTGAAAAACCTGCATTTCAAACCCAGATCTGAAAAATCTGCATATAAAAAAACATTCAAATGGCTTAAAACACACAGAAAATGAGTGAAAGATTAGATATATATATATATATATATATATATATATATATATATATATATACTTTTTTAGAAAACATAACATACATCCAAATGAAGATGAGAACCATCTGATTAAAAAACCTGCAAAAAAAAAGATAGATTAGTGAGAAAAACATGAGACATAACTGAAAAATTCATATAAAGTTAATAGATCCATCTTTGAATGAGTGGAATATGAGAATCATGTGATGAAAAACCTACAAAAAAAAGATAAGTTAATGAGAAATACATGAGACAAAAACAATAAATTGATAAAAAGTTTGGTGTTTATAAGTTTAAAGAGATTATAGAGAGATTGGAGAGTTCTAGAAAGATGAACATTACATTTTTTGTTGCATACATTTGAGAGGAGGAGAGAGAATGTGTAAATTTTTCTTTATATAGGGAAACAAAAAAAAAATTAGGTTAAATATTTTTGTTTCAGATGACTGAAATGTAAGTTGTCCAGGAGACTTTAATAATTTTAGCGGGAAACTAAAATATTTTTAACGGGAAACTAAAATAGAAGACTTTTGAGAAGACTTACAAGTAAGTCGTCCAAAAGACTTAAAAGTAATTCGTCCAGAAGACTTGCAAGTAAGTCGTTCAGAAGACTTGCAAGTAAGTCGTCCAGAAGACTTACAAGTAAGTCGTCCAGAAGACTTACAAGTAAGTAAGTCGTCCAGAAGACTTACAAGTAAGTTGTCTGGTTTAAATTATTCAAGCGGGAAAATAAAATTTTAGGCGGGAATATAAGTCGTCTGTGTAAAATTATTTACCAGACGACTGATATTTCAGTTGTCAAGACCCTAAACCCTAAACCCTAAACTAAATTGACTAAATTAACTAATTAACCACGTTATAAAATCAAATTATACTTAAATAGTGTTTACTATACACAGAATAAACACACTTAGGTAAATTTTTAATTTTTCAAAAAAACATTTATGCTTTCGAAAATCTAACCCTAAGAAACACATACAATACTACAACATATATTGGTNAATTAACCACGTTATAAAATCAAATTATACTTAAATAGTGTTTACTATACACAGAATAAACACACTTAGGTAAATTTTTAATTTTTCAAAAAAACATTTATGCTTTCGAAAATCTAACCCTAAGAAACACATACAATACTACAACATATATTGGTGAAACCTAAACTAAAGAATATCATGACTCACTACTTTCACTCATTTATGCTGAAAACAACTGACTTTTTTTATATCTTAATTTATATCTCTTAAGACATGTGTTAATTACATAATCCCAATTTTTCATTTATCAAGATATTTATTACAGAATTTTTAAATTATTTTTAAGAAAAACTGTCCCAGACGACTTTAAGTTAAGTCGTCTGGACGACTTTAAGTTAAGTCGTCTGGACGACTTTAAGTTAAGTCGTCTGAGCAGACGACTTACGAGGGCTAGAAACGAAAAAAAAATAGCTTTTTTTGTTTGTTCACAAGGGGTTGGTTGTAATTTCAATAGCCTTTTAAGTTACTTTTGCATTTGATTCAAGTTTGAGTTTACTTTTGCATTTCAAATCAAGTTTTGAGTTATATTTGGCAATTTTCCCTATAAAGAAAGTAGTATTAGTGATTTAGTGTAGGTTTAACTATAAAATAGAAAAATGTATTTAATTTAAAAACTTACAAAATAAATGTTAGGTCCAACCTAATGTTTCTGAATTAAGAAGATAGATTATAGTTTTATCCGCACATCCGGACAATTTTTTTAAGTAAATTTTTTTTGTAAAATGGTGATATATACTTTTAACATTAACTAATTAATTATTTAATATGACCCTTTTAAATATAATAATTTGAATAATATAATAATTTGAATATTATTTTTGAACAGCCAACTATACTACTTACACATTTCTTATCATGTAGTTATTATATTGGATTTGCATTAGACTTTAATTTATAGAAAAATATGCCACAAATAATATATTGACATAAATTTAATTTTATATTATTATATAAGTTGATTATTTGTACTTTACAGTTTAAACAAATATAACTTTGTATTTATAAAAATAAAATAGGTTAATCTATTAATTTAGTAAATTTGTGAGAATAAATCGAAAAGTTTTATTATAGTTATATACAGTTTTCAAAAGTTTAATTATAGTTTTAATTATTAATATGTTCTTATTATTTAAATAATGAATATTAAAATTAAAAATTAATAAAAAGTGAGACACATTAATAAGTGTGTAATACAAATAAGTGTTAAGATAGTAGATCACACACCAGACTTTATTATTAGCACAATAAACCAACTGTTACAGGAAAAAGAAAACAATGGAAACCCAATTTCCTTAACATAATGCGACTTACACATACAACTCCTAAGATAAGAGATTAACCATCTTCAGTTCATTCAGTCACTCACTTCATCACTTTAAGTTCAGAACTATCTTCTTCTTCTTGTTCTTGCATTCTTTGTTCAACATCACAGATAACTTAGCCAATCCGAACCTCTTCCTCTTCCCATTAACCTTCTTTTCTTTATCCTTCCCTTCACCATTTCTTTCTTTAAAGTTAGTCTTCCCAAGAATCTGACCCAAAGACACTCTCCCATCCATCATCATCGCTGACTCATCCGCAAGAAGTAGCTTCCTGCTCAGTATCTGCCCTATCGACATCGTTGGTCTCAAGACAGCAACTGAAGACGATGTCCCGTCTCCATTCATCATCATATTCAGACCGTTTACATCCATCAGAACCGTCTCTCTCCTGTTCTTGTACTTTCCCTTGTAAGAAGATGATCTCCTCCTATGTTCTGACCACTGCCATTGTCTCTCTTCTTCCTCTTCCATTTTCACGCTATTCACTCTCTCCAAACCTTCCTCAATCGTCCTCCTACTGCTTCTAATCTCTTGAGCCGTCTCTTCTATCTTCTCAAGAATCTCCTCCTGCAACGTCTCTCTTCTCCTTCTGGTGACAGCTTTGATTTCAGCTATTGCAACTGCTTCAGCAGCTCTAGCAGCTTCCTTCATCTTCCTAGCAGCCACCAAACGCAACTCAGCAGCTTTGATCTTCCTCCTCGTCTCCTCAATCTCACACACAGCTTTATCAACCGCAAAACGAGCATCCTCCCCTGTTTTACTAAACTCCAACGCATCATCACTTAGTCTCTGTATCTCCTTGGAGATCTCCACAGCGTTCTCAGAGTTTATTAACCTCTCTCGTGTCTTCTCGAGAGCTTCTCGTTCCTCTTCTAGTCTCTTGTTTAGTAACTCAACTGACTCTCGTATAGCAGCTAGATCTTCTGTCGTTTTGCAAAGATTCGTTTTCGCTTGGTTTAGCTCTTTTAGAACATTCATGTCGCGGTTCTCTTTGTCTTCTCTTCCGTGTAGCTTTGTTTTTAGCTCTTCAACTATGAGTTTAATCGACTCTAGAGACTTCAAGACTCTCAAAGCTTCTCCTTCTTTGGAGATCAGTTCCTTCTCTAACTCATTAGCTTTGGTCATCATGTTAGCTTCATCCACATCATTCTGTTACCAAAGTTCGAAACTTTATCACAAGAAGTAACTAAAGACAAGATCTTTTTTCTAAATCAACAGAAACCGTAGAAAACCAAAATGGAGAAACAAACAGAGATGAGAACCTGAGAAGCTTCGGGGATGTTGTTGAGGGAAGAAGGTTTCCAGAAGCCGAAACCGCCGAAGCGAGTGGCGGCTTCTCTCACTGACTCGAATGGAGCCGAAGTGTCGACGGAGGATTCTAGGGCTTCGGCCATTAGAGTTACAGACGAAAAAGAAGAAGACAAGAACTTGGGGAGAAGAAATAAATGAGAGAGAGAGAGACAGTGAAGAGAGTTTGGTCTGAAAATAAGCTGTTTGTTTTCTTCGATGGGAACTGGTGTGAATGTGGTTCAAGACTTCATATTATACTAGTAATAGTACTTGTTTATCTCAACGGCTTCTTCTGTTAAAAGGGATTATTAAAGTTGGAAAAGCTACAAGTATCCGTTTTCTTACCAGTGTTCATTTTTTTGTCTTTATATAACTAAAGTTATAAATTACTTTTTCTAATCCACTCTTATCTAAGTGTTAAAAGTTTTTCATTGGGTCTCTTAGATTTTCTAGAATAGTAAGGATCAACTCAGTTTTAAAAGAAGGAAGAAATGATCTTAAATGTTGCTAAGTTTTTCTTAAAAAAAACAATAGTTTTCTCTAGTTATAAGCCCTAATGCTAAATGCGAATGCTAAAATCAATATGATTACTTTTTTGATCGAGAAAGAGGATAAAATAAAATAGGAAAGTAAGTAAAAAGAAACATTTGGACCGTTGGATTAGAGGGAGTTGTGCCGGGGTTCGCTGCGTCAATGATGGACAGAACTAGTGGTGGTGGGGATATCTAACGGTCACAACATGGGGCCCATCTAATGAATCTCTCTTAGATGGTTTATTTACAAATTTCTTACAAAATAACCGTTGGAGGTGAAAAAAAAAACATGAAAAGGACAAAAGATGAAATATCAATCTCATGAATATTCGCATCGGAAAAATAATACTCTTCTTCCCGTTTCTAAAAGATCCATATTCTAATTTTTTCACATTTTTTAATAAAACAGAATAAATTTGCATAATTTTTTATATTTATTTTCTTTCCATAATTTTAAACTAATAAAAAAATCAGTTAGTGCAATTAAGTATTTTGAAGTTTACAATTAGTTAATAAAACATGCATTGAAAATATAAAAAATAGATCTTTTAGAAACATTTTTTTTTTAGAATATGTATCTTTAAAGAACGGAGGAAGTATTAAGAAACACACATTAAATTTGCATAGTTTTTTGTTATTAGATTTTTTCCTTAATTTTAAGTTAATAAAAATATAATAAGTGTAATTAAATTTTTTGAAATTTACAATTATTTAATAAAATATATATTGAGAATGCAGAAAATAGAACTTTTAGAAACAAATCTCTAAAATATTGATCTTTTAGGAACGTAAGGAGTAAGTTGAAATGGTTAGTTTTATAGAACATGACTTCAACATCATTACACTGACGAGTCAAAACCATGGTTAGACACATACTGTACTATTTAAGAACTAAACATTCATTTCTAACAATTAACACCCATCCCAATCTCATACAAGACACAACTCTCATCAGAAACAAAGTAACTCGTAGCTCTACACTTCACATATTTATTTGCTTACTTTTCTCGCTTGTGTTCCGCCGTTTAGCACTGTTGTGACTCCTTCTAGCTTAACCATCTCGTGATCGCATAACTCTTCATCGAAAACCCTTATACTTCGTAACCTCGTTGACGCTGCAGTCTCCATTTTTGATTTCTCAGAACATTAATGCAAGCTTACATGTTCTGTCTTAAAAATATGATTTTCTTCCCAACCAATCTAATGTTTTGATGATATGATGATGTTTTGTATACCTCCACGTCTTGTCCTGAGTTTCGCCATCTAACATGCTTATTGCTACTCTTTAGCCTCATGTCTTCATCTTCTCGAAGATGCACTTGTTAGAAACATTCATCTTTGAGTAATGACCTGAGCTCAAAACTCTTAAACCTTCAAAAAAAGTTGAAGAACACACAAATATCGTCCATTATCATCGCTTGATCCCATTGTCAATGCAGCTTTGAAAGCGGGTTCTCTTGTTAATGATGTTTGTGTCTCCATTATATAAGCGTTGCCAATAAATCCGTGAGTGTCTACTACAAGAACAGACAGAGCAAAACGTAGGTTGGTATCTGATTTGCAGTGGCCTTGGAGATTAGAGAACAAACAGATTAGGATTTATCACCACCGTATCATAAAGATGTTTCATCTGTTGTTGATTTTTAGAATTCCCCGAGGGAAAAAAAGAGAAAAGTATTTATTTATACTTTTGATTATACAGATTACAAGAAAATAATGAAAGTTTGTATGAAAATACTTATGCTTTAGACTTTTGTAATAACAATGTCAGCAATGCGTTTAAACACCCTGGCCTCCATAATCTTTTTTCAGGCTTCAGGAGGTAAGGACAACCTTAATGGTAATAACAAATTCAATGGAAAAATTAAGAAAAAAAGGAAGACAGAAGGAAAGAAAGGTTTCTTGGGTGAGACACTTCAAAAAATATTGAGAGACTTGTTTGCTACTTGTCTCAATATCACTAATTTTTTTTGTGGTTAAAATTACAAATATCAGTTTATATCGTTATTATTATTACTTTTAAACCAGATTGTGATTATTAATTTACTAGAAACAGTTTTTGACCAATTGACCGATGATGAAGCTCCAGTAGGCTTCTTGATTTTGACAAACGCAATACCAAGTTTTTAAAAGAGTTGATTGGTTTGCCACTTAATCTCTATAATATTATTTGAGATGTCAGTTTCCTACGTATCACGCTCACGTTAATTTTCACAATGGTTAATTACATATATACTGTTAATAAACTAAAAATATTATAAGACTAGGTAATTTTCTCATACATATTTTTCAAGTAAATATATAATAATAATTGATTACTGTTTATTTTTAATTTTAAATTAATTTATAATTTATATAGATCATTTATATTAATAATATTATATTACTTTAATTATACTATAATTTTATATATGTTATATCTAGTCGATTTTGTTATTTTTACGGTTGATTTAGTTATCATTTGGATAAATTAAATTACAATTCTGAATTCAACTTTAATATTTTTAAATATATTAATTTTAATTAACTAATTATTTGCATATAGTGGGTGTTGTCTTAGATATGTAAATGTATTTTAAGAAATTATGTATAACTTAAGATATATTGTACTCTGGATTAAAAATTAACTAAAGCATCTGATTCCAAAATACGTAAATTAATATAACGATAATATTCTAAAGTTTCATGCACATATATAAATTTTACAAAAGAACTAACATTGTATGAGTTGGTTAATATTTATTTTCATTTGTTAATATGTTTTGAGTTATCCTATCATCAATAAAAGATTACAAGCAAAAGTAGTTGATACATTTTTGGAATCTCATGAACATATATCAATATTTACAAAATATTGATAATAATTTAATATCTATTGACTAAATGATTAAAATATGCAGAAATGCCAGTATATCGATTACTATAAACATAACTTGATAAATTCTAAAATATATCCAAATAATGACATTAAGTTCAAATGTGTAATATATTGATAAATATATTAATCAATATATATCTAATTAATGATTAATATTATCCTAATATTAAATACATATTAATAATTATTATATTAAATATTTTAATTGACTACTATTTATTATATAAGGATATTAATATTCATACCTGTGCTTAAAATCACCTATTTTTTATATTTATATTAATTTTTATGTCAACCAATCGTTTCATATTATAATTTATAAATGCATGAAATACTCAAATAAAATCTAAATGATAAAAGTAAAAACAATTATAAAAATAAATCATTTTATTCTAATTTATCAATGGTAAAAGGAGGCATTAAAAATAAAGAATATTCCAATTTCTTATAAAAAGACATTTTGTGTTTAATATAACAAATGAATGATAAAAATTTAAAATAAATTAAATTAAAAACAAAATAAGCATATATATTAATGAATATTTTATTATATAAAGAAAATCCAATTTTATACATAAACAATAAAATTAATACATATACAATTTAAGCATGCTGGATTTAATTCTTTGGTATATTCTGTTATATCTTGGTCTAATCAATTTTTAACATTAATACTTTATGGATCAACATGTATATATATTATAATTGGGTATGCGTAACAACAACAAGAAAAAAACAAGATTCCTTCTAAACATGGTAAAATATTCAAGATCTAAAATTAATATGAACTAAAATACATTTGAAAGCGCAGACTTTTTCCAGTCTGAAAATCTAACTTGACTTTTCTTTTTTTTGAAATCTTTTATGACATATAATTCATTTGGAGTGTGTACAATTAAGTACCACGTATGCCAAAAAGAACAAAAAAATTGCTAAAAAAACAGTATATTTACAAATACTTGCCATGTTTTACTATTTGATATTTCTGAACTAGTTTATAAATTATTATATAAGTATTGTAAATTATTTAATAGTAGTTTTTTAATTTTAACTATTTAAATATTGAATAGGAATTTAAGAAAAAATTAGTTAGTTATAATTCTAATCTAACATTTTTTAATAAAATTTATTTTTTTTTACTTTTATATATTTTAAGTTAATATATGATAAATATAAAACTAAAAAGACTCTAAAATATTTTTATAATATATTATTTTTAGTTCACTTATTGTATAAATAAATAATTTGATTATATGTTAGATATTTTAAATAATATATTATGAGTAACAAATCAAAACATCAAGTAGTTGTTTTTATTTTAGTATCAATCAAATAATTTGTGTCAACTCCTATAATCCAGAAGTAAACACGTGGTCTGTGTGGGTAGATGCCACATATAATACGTGTCATTATAGTATGAATAATGAACTAGAAGGCAACTACTTGAAACATGAAATAAAGAAACGATAACTAGTTTATCAGCCTCAGCCCAGTTTCTTTGACTAAACTTTAATTTCAAGCTCTTCTGTCTTACCCAACACAAAACCTTCATGCAGTCTTCAAGGGAGGTCAACTGTAGCCGTCTGAGAAATTTCACGGTGAAAGATCTGACGGTGGACAAGCTGTGTCTCATCGAAGTTCCGGATAACGCCAGTCTAGCAGACGCCTTAAACGCCATGGTAAAGAAGCATAGTTAGAGCATACTATTAACTCTATCGTATATACATATACATAAAGTTATTAACACGAAAGTCTTTGTTTTGAATCAAACTGGTGGCAAACCGAGTAAGAGCGGTGCCGGTGGCTGCGGCACCAGGGCAGTGGTTGGGGGCTGGTGGATCCATGATAGTGGAGTCGGACAAAGAGACCGGAACTGCAAAGAAACAGTACATAGGAATGGTGACGATGCTTGATGTTGTGGCTCACATCGCCGGAGAGGAGGAAGAGAAAGGGCTTGATAAGAAAATGGCTGATCCTGTCTCTTGTATCATTGGTCATTGCCCTGAGGGTCGAAGCGTATGGTCTCTCAACCCCAGTACCAGGTAATGAATATGCATGCCTTGTTGTGAGAAATGATATTAATTGATGATGAAATACACAGCATAATGGATTGTATGGAGATTCTGAGCAAAGGAATACACAGAGTATTGGTTCCATTGGACAGTAACGTAAAGAAGACCTCAGGGCCTGAGTTGGTAGAGTCAGCCTCTGCTTACACAATGCTGACTCAGATGGATCTCGTCTCCTTCTTCCTCGACCAATCTATCCATCTCCAAGCTATTCTCTCCCGCACTGTCACTGATCTCTCCGCTGTAAACGACAACGTTTTAGCCATCACTAGCCAGGTAAATTCATTAAGTCACGTTTTATGAAATTTAAAGTCCCGATCATTATTTATATCCATAGGAGGACCAAACGAAAATTGTTTGTTTTACAGGCCAGAGTAAAAGATGCAGTTAAATGCATGAATATGGCAATGCTAAATGCCGTGCCTATCGTTGAAGCCTCCAGCGATGAAGAGGATCATACGCAGCTCGTGGACGTACGTGACTCTTCTTCACACATCTCTACCTATCTATCTACGTATCTGAAGAATATATATATGTCTCTCGTGTTTTGCTGGTGCAGGGGAAAAATCGGAGGGTGGTGGGGACTTTCTCGGCGAGTGATCTCAAGGGATGTCATTTAGCCACGTTGCGTTCTTGGTTGCCGTTAAACGCTCTCGAATTCGCCGAGAAAATACCAAGAACCCCCTTGTTCGCGTCAGCACCAAAGAGGGAGCTCGTGACATGTCACGTGACATCCACCTTGGCCCAAGTGATCCGTATGGCCACCACGAAACGTGTACACAGAGTTTGGGTTGTGGACAAGAACGATGGGCTGCAAGGCCTCGTTTCTCTTACTGACATTATCGCTGCGGTCCGAGCTGCCATCTCTGCCTCCTAGATTCGTCTTTCTCTTCTTCTATTATTGCATTTTGTTTTTCTTTGAAGAACAACTGCAACACTTTTAGTTCTTCCTTTTTTCTATGTACTATTTCTTTGTACTAGTAGTATGTTTCATCAATTTAGTTAAGATATAAAGGAAAATGAATCAAACCTAGGAATAGCTAGTCTTCCTGCTTGACAGAGACGACTCTATCACTGGACCTTCAATCATTTCAATTTTTTATAGAACTATACTACACATTTATGTGTCTGTAACAGAAAAATATTGGAAGGGGAGTGACTAATGAACAGGGTACTTGAGCACGGGGCGCAAACAAGCATGGCATACGAATGAGACAGAAAAAAATTGTGTATAATTCTATAATCATACTTTAATGGGCTTCTCTAATTTAATCATACTTTTAATCGGTAACATAACCTGCAAAAGTCTCCAATCATTATGCACTAAATAATATTTATAAAATTTGTGGATATTTAAAAGAAACTAATGATATTATGATTCAAAATTTATTATTTTTAATAAGAATATAAAATTTTGAGAATATTAGTTATTAAAATTTTAATAATTATAAAAGTAAAAATGAAATAACATTTCTAAATTTATAATATATATTTTGATATATTTATTTTAGTGATGATTTGATTTATGAATTATTATCATATTTTAAGAAGTTTACCAAAAATATAAATCACTATTAAATGTAATATATCATTTATTCTCAAATTCTATAAAATTTATTAAAACTATATATCAACAATAAATGTAATTTTCCATGTCATATTTAACTATAAGTAAAGTATCAATTTTATTAGTTAATTCATTATTTTTAGTAAAAATAAATAATACATGAAAACATTTCACAAATAATATATAGGGATAGCTGCAGATCCCTCTACATATGATCGGTTTTTATTAGATCGTAAAAAAAATAGACATCAAAGTACTCCGGAGAAAAAATATAGCTACAAGAAAAGAAACTAGCCTATGGGTGACGATAAAAGAAAATAGTTGGACCCATTGTGAGGCCACAATAAGAACTAAGGATAACTAGTTGATTTTTCCATGGTCATGCACGGATATGAATATTTATCAAATAAATATAATGTAGTATATTCTAATTTATTGATTTAATTGATATTTACTTTTAATTATAAATTATTTTATAATTTGTATGTATAACTTTATTAATAATATTATATTATTTTAATTAGACAAACGATTTGGGAGATGTTATATTTAATCGGATTGGTTTTTCTTTTGTCAATAGTAGATTTGGTTACACTTCTGTATTTTAGATTGCATCTATTTTTCTGAATTTAACTATAATATTTTTCTTATTAATATGCTAAAACTTTGATTATTATTGTATTTAAATTGATTATCGTCTTATATATGTAAATATATTTTAGTAAGATTATGTATAAATCAATATATAATATTCTTATAATGAATTTAAAAATAAACTGAAATTTTGACTCAAAATTACATAAATGAATATAACAATAATATTCTGAAGTCTCATTCATATAAATGAATTTTACAATAAACTGAATTATAATAGTTGGTTAATAATTTATTTTTCTATATTGATATTTTGAGTCATCATGTAATCTATATGTATAAATATAAATAAACAATTATTTTAAAATTATATGTTCTTGTTGTAGTTAGATTTTTAAAATTATATGTTCTTGTTGTAGTTAGATCTTTTATTTTGGATATAAATTAGATTTGTTCCGTTACTCGTTTTGTGAGCATATTGAATTATATATACTTTTCTAATTCAAATAAAAATATAATTATTTTTATTATAATTAAATCAAATCAAATTAATTTTATTTATCGCTTAATGCAAGTATTTTTATAATATTTTTAATAATTGGATAATGTTGATTTTTAAGAAATATAAAAAAAAATAAAGTGACGATCAATAAGAATTTACATATATTAATATGAGTATAAAGATAAACTTTTGAAATTTCATGAGCACATATTAGTATTTACAATAATTAAATAGTTATAAGTTCTAAATTATTTATGTTTTAGATTTCTTAAAAGGTAAACTCAACGTATTTTAAACAATATTAAAAATGAGAACTTAGATTTACTTGAGTATTTTGATTATTTATATATTAAGTTCCACAAATATAAAAACGTAAAATTAAAAAGAAAACTAAATATTAAAAAGAATTTTTTATAATGATAAAATATAATATTTCCATTTCATTAATAGTGTATAGTGCTACGCTATTTAAAAAAATTTTAAAATTATTTAAACAAAATATTTATTTTTGTAAAAAAATATTTTTAGTTTCCTTAGATATTTAATATTTATTAAATAAATATTAAAACATCAAATAAATTTTATTAATAATCATTAATTTTCAAAATTCGTCACTTTATTTTTTAATATTTCTTAAAATAACATATATCCAATTATTAAAATATTATAAAACTACTTGCATTAAGTGATAAATAAAACTAATTTGGTTTGATTTAATTAGAATAAAAAATAATTATATTTTCATTTGAGTTAGAAAAATATATAAAACTCAATATACTCACAAAACGAGTAACAAACGAATCTAACTTACATCCAAAATATAAGATCAACTACAACAAGAACATATAATTTTAGAATATTTATTTATTTATTTTTATACATATATATTACAGAATGACTTAAAAATATCAATATAAAAAATAATTATTAACAAACTGTTATAATTCAGTCTTTTGTAAAATTTATATATATGAATGAGACTTCAAAATATTATCGTTATATTCATTTATGTAATTTTGAATCAAAATTTCGGTTTTCTTTTAAATTTCATTATAATAATAATATATATTAAGTTATACATAATCTTACTAAAATATATTTACATATATAAGACGATAACCAATCTAGATGCAAAAATAATCAATTTTTAGTATATTTAGAAGAAAAATATTGGTGCTGAAGTCATAAAATAGATGCAATCAACACAAAAATATAAGCAAATCAACTATTGACCCAAAAAGTCAACCAAAATGATTAAATATAACATCTCACAAATCTTATGTTTAATTAAAATAATATAATATTACTAATATAAGTTATACATATAAATTACAAATTAATTTATATTTAAAAGTAAATATCTATCCAAATTAATAAATTAGAATATATTACAATAAATTTACTTTAAAAATATTTATACTCGTGCATGAACACAGAAAAATCACCCAGTGTTTAATTAAATATCAACATCGTCTCAACTTCTGTTAAACATAGTTGACATCGTCTAAATCATGTTAAGGTTAAACATAGTTCACATCATCTAAATCAATGTGTGAAAGCTGTAAATTTTTTTAAAAAATTGTATTTAATAGAAAACAAAAACTACTTTGTGTATTAAACGGGGATCCAAAATAGTTTGTGTATTTTTTTAGCAAATAAAAATTCGTTCGTGTATTTTTAAAACAATTCATTTTCACAATTTAAACATGTGTCTAATTAAACAGTAATGATGTTGCTACTTCCGTTAAACGTAGTTAACACTGCCTAAAACGATGTGTAAAATCTGTGAATTTCAAAAGTTTATGTATTAATAGGTAACTGAAATTAGTTCGTGTATTAAACAAGAATACAAAATAGTGCATGTATTTTATTTGTAAATGTAAATCCGTTCACGTATTTTTAAAGAATTTTTCCAAATGATTTGGCACCCAATTGTCACGTCATCTTATTATATAAAATTTGGTTCTTCAAAGTTACTAATTAACAAGATTGTAATATATGGCAATTGTATATTTAAGATTGTGACATGTGTTAAATTATCTTATAATTAATATATATATATATATATATATATATAACTATTTAGATAACGACAAAAACGAATTTTGTTAAAAAGATAATTTAGAAATATTATGTAATAGTAATAAAAGATATTTACTAAAACAATATTTGATAATAATTTTCCTTTTAATATTATCACATGTATTAAATATCTTATGATTACAAATATATATTAAGATAATAAAAATAATAATTTTGAAGATATTAACTTTAAAAATTGTTTAAATTTTTTTAAAAAGGTTAAACGGTTTTAATTGTATTTTCCTTTTACAAATCGTGAAGAAAAAGATTAATTTTTTTTACAAAAAATAGAATTTTAAATATGGTTTAAAAGTAAAAAAAAAAAAGAAAAGTAAAGAGTGTTTAAATGTAGTTTTCCTTTTTTTCAAACCCTAAACAAAAAAAAATCGTAAAATAATTCATTTATTACCAATTTGCATTTTCTAAAATCCTAAAAATATTATTTAATAGTAATTTCCCTTTTAAAAATTTATCTATGTTAAAATATATCATGATTAACAAAATATATATACGAAGATGATGAAAATGATTTTTACTAATAAAGTAATTTAAAAAAATAAAAGCAGTTTTTCTAAACTATGTTATTTGATTTTAATTTTTCTTTTCTAAAATCTTGGAGAAAAGGTAACTAAAAAAACTTTTTTATAGTAATTTTCCGTTTCTAAAATCTTCAATATAAGAAAGTTATGAAAGAACATTTAATAGTCGTTTTCCATTTTTCAAATCCTAAACAAAAGAATATTTTTAAAATAATTATTTAAATATTATTCATGTTCTTTTCTTCTTAAACTGGTGATGATTTTTAATATATATTCAAAGATAATAAAACCAAATTTTGAAGATATTAATTTTAAAAAAAAAAATTAAAAGTAAAAATTAAAAGTGTTTAATTGTAATTTTCCTTTTCACAAATCCTAAACAAAAAGATTTAAAATAATAAAAATGAATGTTTAACATATTAATTTTAAATATTTTTTAAAAGTAAAAAAATAAAAGGTGTTTAATTGTAGTTTTCCTTTTTACAAGTCTTAAAAAGGATTGTTTTTATAGTATAAAAAAACGATTGTGTGAATAACTGTTATATGATGTTATAGGTAAGTTAATGTCAATTTGTTTTTATTGATACTATAAA